AAACTACGGTGGCTGCGAAATACATGAACGCCCCTATCTAGTGCCAGTGTTTGGCTTCTCCCTTCTGGACTACTGCAGTAACATGGTGGACTCCATGGAAGGCAAACAGCGGCATCAGTAACTATAATTTTTCAGTTAACAAAAACACAATTTCTATTTCCAGGTGATTATACACTAATTATATTAATTCATTATATTTTGCCAACAGATTCTCCTAAATGTTACACACTGGACCTTTTAACCATTGTTGCTATAAACAGTTTGAATAGTGCACCTTAAAGATAAGCTTTTAAAAGAACTTTCTGGCCACACCCCAATTTGTGATGTCAGAACACAAACTTTGTTTCTGACAACTTAGGACAAACCGCTGCTTTTTCATTTCAGCCTTTTTTGTGCTTGTGATTCAGTCGTTATTCCTAAAAATGACTCATTTGTTGATGTGGATGAAGAACAGTGTCAGGGGAAATAGGACCATTGTTTCCCATGGATGTGGGTGTGTTTCTTCAACAAAACAAAAAGGCTGCCTCTGCCACAGCTGCAGCCTTCAATACTGGAAGAGAAGAGCAAATCTCATGGAGTGAGATAAGATCTCTCTCTGGCCACTGTCTCTGACGGGTCAACAGGAGCAGTGTGGAAATTTATCACCAAACTAAATGCTTTGTTGCCACTGAGGGGAGGAAGGTGGGTGAAATATCACAAAAGGCATCACAAAACAAATTAAGCTATCCCCCTTCCAGTCCAAAGTCCAACGAGTGGAAAGATGCACTGCAACAACTCAATATTGTTTATTATTTCTGGGTTTGTTTCCTTGTGGAGCAAAGATAAGGAGCTATCCATCATGGCCTCTGTCTGCAACCTGAGGATTCCATTATGGCCCAACACAATATGTCCACCGTTTACAACAAACAGCACACAAAAGCAGTGCCAAGGAACCAATTTCCTCTTACCTTCATGAATAAGAATCTCATTCATCTTCCTCTGTGCACATTCATAAAGGCAGACAAGAGCAGAGTGGAGACCCATTATCAAGCTGTCCTTAACACTTCAACAGTGGTTTAAGCACAAACGCAGGCTGTCGGGAGCGCATCTTCTCTGTTGTTTTGAGGAAGAACTGAGCTGGATTAAAAATCTTGAAGTGATTGTTTTGACTTTGAAGTTGGAAGGCCTTGATTCATGTTCATAAACGTGCCTCCAAAATCACATAACAGCCATTATTCCCCTCATGAGTCAGTCACACTAAGCTGGTACATGTCAGATTGATTTCTTCACACTGACACTCATACCAGGATCTCACAATAAACCCCTCATGTCCTTAACTCACCTCACACTGGTAGAGTGGCAGAGGGGTAGGATACACACGTTCGCTCACATTCCCCTTTCACGTCATTGTTACAAAGCAGATAACGTTCTATCAAGCTTTTTATGAAAGTACAGTACGTAAAAGAGAAGAGTCATGACTGTACAGATAATAGAACAATAAGAAAAGAAATAGAGTAGAGTATAGCTCAGTGCTCAATCACACCAGTCACACTGCTGTAATTGAGTAAGGTTTTAATGTGTTTTAGCCTGGTTTCTCAGTTGGCAGAGAATTTAAAGTCATAAAACTTTTAACATTAAAGCAGTTTGACACAATTTATAGCTGGCATTTTTCTGCAATACTTATTAAATGTGTTTACACTCATTAGTTATCCCACTATGTAACAGTTTGCACCTTTCAACCCATTCAAATGGTGATCCGAGGCATTTTGAATAGGAAACAAACATTTGTGCGATTTCTTCTCTTCCGTTGTATTTCTGACAGAGTAGCAGCTCAAAGGGAGTTTTTGATAAACAGGTTTTTCAAAAACCAGTTAATTATATTAAGATGTATTTGTATTACCACACCAGTAAGCAATACATGTGGCCAAACCTTAAGGTTAAAGCTCTATAAGTTGGCAATAGCAACCTTTTGATTTTCACAATTGTAATAGTCTATAAGTACTCAACAGATAAAATGTTTAATAGGATATAAACTTATATAACTAAAGTTAACTGCCACGTTTGTACACTGTCCCCTGAAATCTCATTAAGATTCTGGCAAACATTACAATTCTAATCAAGATGAGCAACCGCAGCACATGCAGAAAGTTTGCCAAGTACATTTTCCATTTCGGATATCCCAATATAATAAAATTTAATTTGGCTTAGATTCTCACTGATTTCGAGGTCTTCGATGTATTATTTCACAGTCACAAGGCTATCATTTTTCTTGTCGGCGAAACACAAGCAATAAAACAAGAGCATACATGTACAGAAAACCGCACTAATACAGGAAGCCATAACTACAAACACTGCTGATTGAAGAAAGCATAAATCATGTGCATATAACAACTGTCTGAGCCCTGTTCAGGCATGAGTGAAAGATGGCACTGTGCAGAGATTTGCGAGTCTGCTGGGCTGTGTAATACCACGTTGATTATTTTTTGAAGCCCGGGAAAATAAAACTGTCAGACTGCATAAGTCATAATTAATTGTAATTAATGGAACCAGTTTTCTTCTAATCATCGCATAAATCGCAGAGTCTTTTTCTGGTAAAAATGTCACTACTCACACTTTGTAATAGATGGCTCCTCTAAATACATTTTGGGCATTTAATCATCTATGTAAATGGGATGCATTACTCTGAAATTATTAAAATAAGGGGAATCTACTACAAGCAAACTATAACAATTACACAACTAATGGACTTTCTATTATGTTGTACAACTTTAGATTAAGCAGCTCTGAACTGGACTGAAAAAAGCTAACAGAGAAATTTCCAAATTTGTACATACCACAAAAAATTGTTTACTCAATAAGAAACACAGAAGAATACCAATTACACACTGTATGAAATTTATTCCATTGATAGTATTGTACAAGAATTATAAAGCTGGCCTGCTTTACATCCTACTGATAAGTTTATACTGCTGTACATATCTGCCATCAAATACTGGTTTTGACTGTGCTCACAAATAGACTGTAAGCTTAAATAAAACACAGTTGACAAAAACTCAAAAAGGGGGAAGGTGACGAACAAATTAGGAAAAATGTGAACATGAACAGTTCCTGCTGGGTTTACTTTGTATATAAAAAAAAGCAATAACTAAAATCTACACATTTCAAGGGCCAAATATCACCAAATTTTACAGTCCACATTTGAGATGATATTTGCTGCCCTGTACTGAGAGACATTTTCAGATGCAGAGCCTGATCTTACACAGTTTTCACTAGAGCTCCACTTGCGTTACAAGTAACGTGTTCACTCATGTCATTTAGCATGACATGAGTGAATATGTTGACCGATTGCTCAACATATTCTGAATATGTGAAACAATTAGGGGGAAAAAAAAAAAAAGAATTCACAACCTTTCGCCTTTTCCTCGCACTGAATGAAGAGAAAAATCTGACAGATCATTCCTGATAGAGACTTGAGTATATTAAAACACCTCTCACCCACTGAGAGGGTGCAGACCGCCTCCCCGCCCTCTAACATGCTTGCAGCTGCCCTACATGGACTCTGTACCCGGTCGCACTCACTCCTTCCTGCGTTTCTTGTCGTGGTAGTCGTCCTTTGAGCGGCCGCTGGTGGAAGGCCTCTTGGAGCCGCCGTGCTGCTTGGCCTCCTCCAAGAACTTGTCCAGACCGAAGGGATCCTCCTCAAACTGGACTGGCCCTTCCCGTCTCTGCCCGTGGTCGGCACCTGAGAACTCTTTGTCTGGAACAAACCTGATGGTGGACAGAAAAAGAATCATTGGAGTGTGCAGCAAATTCCAGAGTTTTTCCACTGATTTTCATTAAACCGTGTTCGCTGACGAATTTTCTTTTGTGCTCGTTTCGTCCTTCAGGTATCCTCAAAACAGGAAAACTATTTTTCTATGTGAAGAGACACAGGACTGGATTTAAAATATCAGGGTAGTCCATGGAACATATGTTTTTATGTCTCAGGGAATTTACTTAAGTCAAAGATTTTTTTCCTGTGTTTTGCACAGCGGTGTAACACCCTGCAGCCAGCCAAACATTCCTAGAGGACAATGACAAGCTGGTGACTAAACATATGGGACAGGCTATGCTCGGCTAGTGGAGTGTGGCACTGCTGCCCCAAGGACAAGGACTCCTGCTGGGACATCATGTGCGCGCTTGCCTTCGTGCCTCAAAATAAAGCCAGAGTGACCTCAAAAAGATTCAGGCCTTTATCGTTATTTTCTGTAATTATAACTGAGAAGGTTAAAACTTCAGCAGCCCCGTTAGTAGCAGGTTACTCACAAATTAAAGACATATGCCACCAAGACAACAACAATGTCCACCATACAAAAATGAAAAGCGAGCCTAATCCTACCCATATTCATGTGTTATGTGTCATGTATTTTCAGAAACTACTGATTTAAAGTATCATGTTTTTTTACTGAACTACCGTATGAAGCCTGGGATATTCTGGTGTCAATATTTAAAAGCCACTCTGTACAATAAATGTAAAATATGTTGAAGATTTAACAAAAACGTAGTACCTGTTGTTTTGCATGAGTGTGTCGAAGTCATCTGTGTAGGTGTCCTTGTCTATATTCTTGCTGGGCCGGTAGATGTTTGATGCCATGTCTCTGCCGCCGCGGAACGGCTGGTCGTACACGTTGTACGTATCATCTTCACCACCAGCAAAACCACTATCCATACCCTGAAGAGAGACAAAAGGAACAGTAACTAAACAGAACAATATACAATTGCACAAGGTAGTAGCTAAATCTAAGAGGGTTTCTGGCTGCAAACAAATCTTTGACCTGGCTCTTGCTTCCATTTTGAACCCGAGAAAAACAAATTTGTCATGTGGATTAGGAAGTCTTTCTTGTTTGTATTTGGGTATCAAATTACTCAGTTTATTTTTATGTAAAGCCCATCGTTCTATCAAGTCTGTTATGCAACTGAGGCTTTCAATCCCATCCCTATTCCAACAAAACACACACACAACTGGAGACTGTACTGCTTCATCCCAACACTGGAGGTGAAACTAAACCTTTTTAACGGACACTGAAACAGATGTTTAAGGGCCCGATCTCTAACAAGGTAACTGTCTATGGAAATGTTACCACATGTTTGCAGAGCTGATTATTCCGTCTATCTACAGGTTTCTATTTTTGTCCAGTCAACACAAATCATCTAAGTCTATATTGATGTAGTTAAATACGTAAGACATATCTAACCTTGCTTTGATTGAAGAGTCTTTGGTCATATTGGGCCTCACTGGCGGAACGTGGGTTGGGCACGCCCAGAGCGATGAGCTCGCTGATGTCTCTGTCCTGGTCTCTCTGCAGCTTCGACCTGGAACAGAGAACATTGTCTGACGTTTAGTAAGGATTTACAGCAAAAACACACACGGAAAAAAAAAAATGTAGAAAATAACTGCTAAAAACCCTTTTCCATTAATGATATTACATTTTTAGAATTAAAAAAAACATGTTTAGTGCTGCAGCATCGAAATTCTTAAATGATAATGGAATTGTAATTTCACTGACATGTTAGATAATATATAATTAGATACTGGCCTACATTTATGTATGCTTATACAGCAACTTCAGTTCAATGTTGACATTAAAGCTTTAGGCATTACATTTATGATGAAATGTGTGTTTTTATAAAGTTCTTGGTGACTTTTAACATCTCGACTGTCCTTCAGCAGACAATTCAAAGTTAAGTCAAAGGTAATTTTAAGATAATAAGGTTTCTGCTTCCTGACAGCTGGAATTGTGATTGTAATAAGCTCTCCTCTGAATTTCAATTCCTCCACTCCTCCAGGGAACCAAAATTCCATCAATTGACAACCTGACAGTGCACCCCACACACACACACACACACACACAACCTGATCATGCGTCTCACATGCAAACACTCTGTGGATCATTGCAGACTACTGTCTGAGAAGCCTGCTGGATCTTGCTGCGTTTGTTCAGTATTACTGCTAGGCCCATGAATGATTTAGCAGTGAGCAGTGCATCTGTGTGTGTATGTACTGAGAGGAGAAGTGGGTGAGTTCACATGCGGTCTGTTTGAAGTGCATGTCCAGCACCTCTTATCAGGGGCAGCCCGGGAAATGTTCCTGTCGTGCTGTCTCTCTTTCCTTCTCTCATGGCGGATCTCGTCACGCTCTCTGGCCTCGCCGTCTTCGCCACCTGCAGCGTGAGTGGGGTGGAGATGGACAGATGGAAAGAGGGAGAAGCAAAGAAACAAAAAGGACATGTTTTTTTTTTTTTAAAACCACATGAGGAGAAGAGTGGGAGACAAATGATTTCAAACGGTGCAGTGGAAGTGCAAAGGTGATAAGAAACATGGGGGTAGGGAGGGAGAAAGATGAGAGAGTAATGAGAAGACAGAGGCGAAAAAGTGAAGGTGGATTGAGAGTGATGTTAGGGATAATGGAAAAAATAAATACATGGTATAGGACAGGAAGAAATGTAAGGCAGAGGCTTGACACACACTGTCAGTGGTCAGTAAACTTGCAAGACAAAAACGCAGCTGACAGATGTTGGAATTTCTAACAAATTATTATTATTATTATTTCGATTTTACATTCTGACTCAATGTGACACTAAACAGTCAAAAACAAAACAAAAACCACGTACAAAAACAGGACATGCAACATTGACTTTTCTTCTCAAAATATATGTGAATTATCAGCAGGGAAGCAGACACATAATTTCACAGCTTACTGGTCCTGTCAACCCTGGCAGGGGGGAAAATGTTGTCATCACTTATGCCATGCATGTTCCAGATTTGGAACTAGCAACAGCACAGACACCCAAAAACAGACAGACTCACTTTTTTTTTTTTAACCCTATCTTCAGGACTCACCTTTGTCCCCGTGACTTTTGATTCCTGCCCTGCGGTCTCTGGCCATTTGGGCCAGTTCCCTCAGTTTCTCCTCCTTCTTTTCCTTCTCCTTCTGGGCCATCTTCTTCTCTACCTGGGCTCTCATCTCCACTGCCTCTCTGGCCTATGGAAACAATCAGCATTTCAATATGTCATTTAAATATTGGTAAAGAGGGGACTTATTTTAGGAAATGGTACAATTCTGGACCACATATCAATCAGGGACAATGGTGTAGTACCTTTCTATCAGCGATGTAGAGCGCCTCAGCCAGCTTGGCAAAGTTTTCATTGATGTGAACTGTTTGCAGCCCCCGACCATCAGCAGCCAGACGTTTGTCAAGAGGAATGGTGTAGCCCTGAAAGATATTAAGCACAGAGAGAGAGAAATGAGAAGGAAAAAAAAGACAGCAGGGCAATTAAACTGGAATTACCACGACAAGATTTGGTGTCTGGAAAATCTAATACTTTTGCAACATATCAAAAACAAAAATCTTGGAAAACATATTACGGCTGCATGAACCTACTCACAATATGCCGGAAATTTAGAGATACAAAAAAAAGAATTAATTCTGGTGTCACATTACCTTAGCGTTCTTCCAATTGGATATGCATGGAGGAATCTTCCACTCCTGCTGCTCCTTGACGGTCATCTACAACAAAGGGGGAGAAAACTGTCAAACATGAGATCTTCTGGACAATGCAAGCAATGTCTTTTTGATTTTAGAGCATGAAAGTACTGAAAAGCAGAACTTCTATAATTAAATTTAATTTCAGGATACTGTACCTTTCTGCTTGGGGAATGCATGACAGGGGCAGGGGGAGACGGAGGTCCTCGAGGAATCTTCTTGTTAATCCTGAAAAATACAGATCATATACCCATCACATTTACGTCAGGTAGCAGCAAAAATACAGGTACTGCAAAGTCCAACACTACCTGGCTTCCACAAGATCAAAATACTCAAAAGGATATTTAATTAATTAAAAAAAACTGTTTGACATTTTGGTCAAAAATGACACTTACAAAAGCAAGACATTTATATAATGGAGCCAATTTAAGACATCTAAACATATCAAGGGGGAAATGTGCAATTATTACTAGAATTATTGATTAAGATTTTAGTTTCACTGGAAGGATTTTACATTTTTGAATGCTTCTTTTAAATCTTTCTGCTTCTTAGTACTTAATTCTCACTTAGATTTCCTTTGGCTACAACTAGATGATCAATTCTGATTTACAAACTACAAATGGGCACTCTTCACACAGAAAAACATACATCAAGATATCATGAGGAAATGTAATAATGACTTAATGAGTTCAAATGGCTTATCAACAGTGTTCACAACAACACCAAGCAGTAAAACTAGAATAATTCTACTAATTACATTAAATACCCTGTATAATATAAATCTATCAAACGAGCCTTTACACATGCCTTTAAGTTACTGTGTTGGACTAATGTTTACTTACTTGAAACGTGGGGGTTCCATTGGATCTTTCTGCATTTCCACCATGCGGATCACCCTCTGTTTGGCCCCCGAGTTAAAAGCCACTCCCTGCTGAGACGGGGTGTATCTTGGGGAGAGAAAAAGAGGCGGAAAACTTTTACCTTTACCCACGCACAAAAATGCTGACAAAGGAGACAACAATTTAAATTAATTAACACTGTACTTTCATAACATCGCAAGTTATGATCTTTCTCATCACCGCCTTCAATCCCAGATGCTGTCAATGTAGCATTATATGAACTCACAGCACAAACAACCCTATACTCATTGACATTCTGGGCACTAAAATTGTGTTGAAATTCTAAAACTTTGAATACATACCTGATGTACTGTGCAGGAGCTTGTTTGTCTGCAGCTCGTACGGGCATAGCGGCTGCGATCTTTTGAGACACCTGCTTGTCCAGGGCAGCACGGGTCTTCTCTGTCAGCTACAGGGGACACACAAGAGATCAGATTATCAGATTTACCTAACTCAGTAAAGTGTAACTGAATAAAAAGTTATTACAGTATTTGTCTGATTGGGATTATAGTGACAAAATGTTTAAACAATTTACTTTGTTACAGAAAAATATGTCTGATTACCATGGCAACGGCTGTGCCTGATAGTTCCTTCAAAATTTGCTACTTTTTTTGGTTTTATTATGTTTTTTTTTCCAGCTTTGTTGCTGAAAACATCCTGTATAATGTCTGATTGGGTCTGAGACAAAATGTTCAACGACATCGAAAAAGAAAGAGTGGGTTTTGGACTAAAGAGCAGCGGCCCTTGACGACCATCCACCCACTCATATCGACAGAAGGGACCAGCCCACCAACACCAGGTGCTGTCGCTCCAGGAGGAGAGGGAAGAGAACTGGAGAGGAGCCATGCTGGCCCAGCTTGGACTTAAGGACGGTTCTGGATGAAACCACCCACATCTTTACAGAGACCTGCTCCATCAACATCCTGGATCAACACTCAATAGGCAGTGGATGGACACGGTTTTTTTTTATGTGAAGATGAACCTGTATAATGATCACTACCTTGTTGCTGTTGCTTAGATTCAACCACATGCAGAGTCAAAAGATACATTACAGAATTATTTTCTGGTTGTATAAGTGTGTGTGTATATAAAAACTGTATATATTTAATTAATTTATTTATTTTATTGAACTTTTATGTTATTCTATGAGTTGTATTCTCTTTTTCTATCAGTAGCATGAAGGAACGACAAACCTCCATTTGGTTATACAACCTTATGTTACATAATGATGAATACATTTCCTTGATTTTGTGAAAATTTCATTTACGTGAAAAAGGAGCATGGCTTACCTCTTTTACAGCCTCCTCATCAGGCTTCTGTAGTTCGGGAGTGTCTTCATTCAGAACTTCCTTTGGAAGAAGGTCTGTGTACTTACTGAAGACCACCTGCAACAATGAAAGATGAGAGGGGCTTAGAAATAACTGATGAAGCAAACTTTTGAACATTGTGTATCATAGTACAGTGTGTAAATGTGTGTGTGTATACTGTACGTTAAAATTCACATACAAATCAATTGTTGGTTTTGTCAGCATAGACTACATTAACAACAAGATTGCAATTCTAGCATTTACCAAGCTGAAGCGTTGTGTATGAAGCTGACTAAGACCTTGACATTATTTACAGTGAATACAAAGACGTGTGCAGGTGTCTTTCATCTTAATGCATGTCCACTCATTGTCCTTTTGACATAATTTCATCCTCGCTTAATATTTTTCAAGTCATGCATGGATACTGTTTTAAGTGTGTATTGAGAGCACCCTTGCTGACTGCTGAAGCAGGAATTTGCCTGTATACCTTATCCTTGTTCTGTCCTTGTCTGGCGATGGCGTCATATTTGATCTTTCCTTCTGCATCCACCTGCACCGCCAGGGCATTGGAGGTCTTCTTCTTCCTACCCATCTCCAAAGGAAACTGAGCCACATGGATCTCTGGGAAAGCTCCTCCATCTCCAAAGTCCTACAAAAACACAGATTCGATGGCAAAAATGAGAAGATGGACTTGTTGCTCTACGGCAGTGACTCCTCTACAGTTAGAAATGACAGACAAGAAAAACCCCCAAACACCACTAAACAAATAACAAAGCCCGTCCCATCCGTTTTTATCATGTTTGGGATTAAACATCATATGAGGAAATAAAGTGATTTACCTCAAGTGAGCGAGGCACCCAGCCCTTTCTGTGTCCATAAGGAGGGGGCTCTCTGCGGGACGACACCAGGGCGGTGGAGTAGGACTTCTGGGCCCGAAGCCTCTCCTCTGCCTCCAGCTGGTCCTGAGACAGCTGGGTCGGAGCCGGTAAGAAGCTGCACACGAAAGAAAAACAGGTTAGAGTCTCGTTGTTTTGTACGGCAACTGCTGTAAGCCCCCTCGCTAGCATTAGCCGACAGCGACACCGAGTAGGTTTACGTAACTGCGTTGTTTGGACGCGTTAACGCTGCTAGCCGGACAGCTAACAGTGAGGCTACATGCCGTTAGCATTTCCGAGAACTAAACTAAAGCCCATAGCTAGCACACCAACAGTAAACATTTGATAAACCTGTGCGGTGGCCATAACAGCGTGCTGCTAGATCCGCTAGCGCCAAATGTTTCACTGTTAAGTTAGCTTACGACACACAGTTTCAGCTAGCGTTAACTAGCGTTAGCAGATGCCATTAGCTTCGATCAAAACAAGGAAAGATAGCAGGCTGAACACAAACACCAACGTGGAGTGGTACGTGTAGTCTTTACACCGTACAACATGAAGTGGAAACCATATATGATCACATTTCGTGGGATAGAAACACAAAAGGCCTAGTCGCGGTCCTCACCTCGTTAGAGACATTTTCCCCCTTCTTCCTTAGCAATGAACTGGGCATGCGCGGTGTAGCAGCTTTGGTTTGACCCTTTCCTGTTCATTTCACATCATTTGTCTGTGGGTTAGATGGTTATTACATGGATACTGTTTAAGATATGTTTCGTTTTGGGAATATTTTTCGGTTTTATTTGTTTTTCTTTTAAGTTTTACATAAAAGTCTGCGTTAGTAATGAAACATATGCTACAAACTGATGCCAAAGAGAAAGACAATAGAATACAATAGAATAGACAGTATGATGTCAGGATCACCATCATCAAACTGGTAAAATTAATGTAATTTCCCACCAAAAAAACTCACAAACGTCTGCATCAACTTGATTCTAACTCTAACCACAAAATACTGTTTCTTCAATTGCCTATAAGTCAAGATCCAAAGTGTGTTTTTTTGTGGGTTGGGTTCCCAACTTACAGTGGTACATAATGTATTTGTGTCGGAATGTGACATCTCTCACAAAGAACGGCTATTATATTCAGGAGAAGTTTTAGCCTCTCCTGACAAGCTTAAAAGTAATTTAACCAAGCAGTTTGGATTTCTCTGCATGTAGTAGTTTCTCTCCAAAGTGATGAATCTCATCAAAGAGTCCGCTAAATCACATCTGACTAGCTGATGAGTGGTAAAATATCAAACAGAGCAACAGAGTGCAATCAGCAAGAAACTCATCCAAGTCTTTGCTTACACTTTTGTGCTATAAACTGCAATTTCGCTAAAATAACGGTTGGAAAATGTTCAATATCCAAAGAAAGAAACCCCTCCTTCACCTCAGAGTGCATAATTAAATGTTAACATGTAGCAATCTGGTCAGAGCACTGGATTTTATTGAGGTGGTGGATAGTTTGCACAGAAATTGGGTAGGAACAAACAGCTGTTTGATGGTAAGACATTTCACACTCAGTTGGATGTGCGTTTATTGCCTCAGTCTGACTTGGTGACAGCTGACAGAGGTGGCAGACTAATGGCTTTATATAGTTCATACGCTTGTAATTTTTCAGGGTTAGGGTGTGCATAGTCAGTAGGTACATATTGCTCATTTAATCCTATATTGACATCGTTCTTATGAGTGAATATTTGCCTGTATAGACTAGAACTCCTACGTAATATGAGGTTTTGCACAAACATCTTGGCATATAGTATCTGGAATATTGTACTTTTGTAACTGTTCCTTAACTAGAATTCAGTCCGTTTGTACAGTCATATACTATGTCTATCATAAATAAATCAAATTCAAGGAAGCGTCACAAGACAATTTCACCTCTTAACAGTAATTTTTTGCTGGTTTTTCAAGCAAATTGTTTCCATACACATTTCCATATTGAAACTATCTTGACATTGTAGCCTAAAAGCTTTCCCCCCCTGTTGCTGCACACATCCCGAAACCCATGTATGGTTTACTGCACCTGAGAAGTGTGACTGCTTCCGAGTTTCTCTGTGAAGATTTTAGTCTTGGAAGGACATTGGTGAATGGACTGTAGCCCTGTCTATTTTCAAGGTCCCTGATAAGTGCTTGGTAGATTCCAGTCCTCCACAGCAGGGTTACTCCTGTAGCGCAAACATTGCTTAGATTTGTCCGTAGTTTTTGTTAGCACTAACTGATTCTACCTGGTTCTATGTACAGAGTAATGAAGCAGCATCAGCAGGAAGGATAGCTAGCATTATCCTGTGTAAAATTTGCCAGAAGGAAACCCTCAAGCTGTTTCAGTCTCTTTTCACTAGAGACTACTAAACAGAGGAAGTACATAAAAGCTTGCAAAATGAGTTTTGCCGTAGAATAGGAGAATTATGTAATGCCACCATAATAGACCCTGCTGTTATGATGAATGTGATGGATATTTTGACTCTCCTGCCATAATGATCTGCAATAAAAGTGTCGTCCCTGCTGTGAATGACTGGTACTTGTTGGTCTTCCTCCTTTGCCTTTTGGTGTGTCTTTCTTTCTTTCTTTCTTTCAGTGCCAGTGTTTTTATCTGGGTGTCTGCATCTCTTCCATCTCCTCTGTCTCTGTTTTCTTCCCATCCTTCTTCCTTCCTCTCCCTCTCTGGTTCTCGGAAGAGGAGGCAGTCTGTCAGTCTCTCAGCAGAGACGTACTTTATTAATGTGACACAGGGTAAAAGGACACGTCAAAGGAGATCAATCACAGGCTGTGGCACGGGACAAGAAAGCTTTTAATAAACCCAATCATCTGGGTGCTTCTCTTTTCCACCGTGCCTGGTGTTTGTCATTGAGGAGCTCTGTACCATTCTGTCTGCCCCTCCCTGGACTTGCTGCAGGATGGCTGATGGAGTGGGTATCGTTTCACTCAAATGGAATCACCCCTCAGGGAGTTTGTAAGCAGTAGGTTTTTTAGTGTTTTCCTGGGGATGGTGGGAGATGTTTGAGCTCAGTTTTTTTGGAAATATTTTAAACACCAGGTATGTCATTTTTCCTCAGCAGCAGCTTCATTGATTAAATGATTAAATTTCGCAACAGGATCCACTGAATCAAATATATAAAAGTCTCTTGAGTGGTATTTACAAATCAAAGACTGTGTGCTAAGACCAAGGCTAATTCTCTTTTGATTAAGAAGCAGCATTTAGCAGAATATACTTGTCAGCTTAAGGTCAGACCATGACAACAAGGAAAAGGGTTTTCTCGACATGGCGGCGGCAGGGCTACTGGCTCTGTTAATGCTCCCAGCAACACAAGTGTGGGGCTGAGGAAGCCGCGGTAGGCTACCTCATTGTCATCACATGCCCCATCTCCAGTGTCACTGTAGGGCACAGAGGGTCCAAGGACCTGGAGAAACTGGAGAAGAGCAAGACCAACAGACACATAAGCAGCCATCATTCACCCTTTAAAATGATAGTTACAAATTATAAATAGGCTAACTTTGCAACGTTGCGCCAAATAATCTCAAATGTTCTTAAAAACACCAAGTTACAAACAAATAATTTAATAATCTGGTTGCACCATTACCATTAATTACTGCATTAACCAATGCCATAGCTAGGTCATACTTTAACACTGTGGAGCGCCATCAAATCAAAATGTTTTAAAACTATATATTTTACTTGACTGCTAAGCCCTTGTAAATAGATGTCTTGATTACTTATTTACTTTATTTGTATATGCACATGTAAAAATACAGAGATAGCATGACTAGCATGTCTGGGGAAACATCCTATTATGCTAACCTTGCTGATGTAATTAGATCATTTAGTCTAATATTATTGGGGTAATAATGTATATTGAGGTATGGTGTGTTATATTTGTGAAATGTAATACAAAATCCCAGTTTTTATCATTATCAGTAAACTATGTCGACCATATTCCGTATAACCTCTATACAGCTTTTTCACAGCAGCCATTTAGACAGGAAATAGGGTTAACACAGGTGTCACCAATTATACTAATTAAGGTTCCATTCAGGTTAAACAGAGTCAGGGTGCTGCTATTGTGTATGTTGGCTCACTGGAAAGGCTCTGCTACACTAAATGAAATGGAACCTAGTATCATGTAACCATGTAAAGGTCTGTTCTTCATCTGCTAGGTCTTCAGCAACTTGTCGAGCCACAGGGAAAGATTGTTAGAGAGCTCAGGCTCCAGAAATGTGTATTATTCTCCTGACTGCTGGGGGAATTCTTACCACTGTCTACCAGTTCCAGCCTCAGCCTATAGCAAAACTTGTGCAGTAGATCCTCATCCCCAGCAGCCCACATTTGTTTGCTTTCTTCTGATGTATTGTAAATCCTGTGTTACACGAAGCATCAAATGTACTATTCTGAACCAGACCATTGTTAAAAGCAAGTGCTGTGTTTGCAGTTTTTAAAGGGGTATGGGGAATTGGGAGAAGCTGAATAATATCATGTTGCACTTGTAGGCAATTCTCTGAAATGCATAATGACGGAAGCTCCTGGGCTTCAGTACAACAGAGAAACCCAAATAAGCATTTTTCAGGTCTATTTTAGTGGACCAAATTAAACTGGAACTAATCTGAATGTCTCTGCAGTAATTCCAGAAAATAGCTGGGGATGACATTTACTGTTATTTCCTTGTGAGAGATTGGATGTGATTATTACCCATACAAATCTGAATTGTACAGAGTGAAGTGGGCTAAAAACACACACAGGTAGCGTGTAATCACTCTACTCTACAATGCAGAAACATCTCAACACCAACCAGCTGAAGCATGGATGCCTTGTTGGCCCTCGCAGCCATTGAGACAGCACCTTAAGCCTCTAAAATCCCCTTGGACCTCTCACTGACAGATAAGTTGAAATCGACTTGTGAGCTGAAAATTGGGTCTTCAGGTCTTCCCTCTCTGTTGATAGAACTGAACCCTCCACTGTGGCCAGCGGAACATGGTAGCTATCAATTCCCACTAGATAAGAATGATAGCATCAAAGACGCTTGAAACCAATGAAATCACTGCATTGCATCAGAGATGTGCCAAAGAACATGTCCAGAGAGAGCAAATCCAAGAGGAACTCCATATCACATCAATGCAGGGTTCTCATGCCTAGCATAAAATGCCAGTGGACATTTACCACTGCAGGTGTGAGCCATATTGTATCATCCGTGTGACGTTTTCAAATATGGAGGTGAAAATGGGTAAGACATGCAATTAGTGCGGCTCTTTCTTAAGGACAGCCCTGTAAGGTTGAATAAGCTCATAGGGCTGTGCAATATATTCATAATTGATTTTATCACATACAGTTCTGATCATATTGTATCTTCATAATCTTTTTTGAAATGGTGTAAATTAAGACACAGAGCCGTGTTATCAAAAATAAAAAGGTTTGAGTCACATTTATTCCAGAACAACCACTGATACTGAAACATTACAATTTGCCCCAGCATATTTTAGGCATGTGATATTCCTTACCTAAAAATATGGTGAGATTTTCCAAATCGCTAAGAATTTTTTTCCATGATAAGTTGAATACTGAATGTACACACACATTTTTAGAACTCATTTAATAGTGTGACTATATTGTTACCTCCATCTTCGTGTCGCAATCTTTTAAATTTGAAAAACAGAACACAATG